CTCTAAGGTGCGGTTTACACATGAAACGCACCTGAAAGGTGCGGTTCGTTAATAAAACGCACCTTAGGGGTGCGTTCCGTTAGAAAAGGTGCTAAAATTGTAAATTTTTTTATTTGGGTGCTAGTTTTGTAAAAAAAAAAATTAATGGTGCTAGAATTGGAAAAAACTCATCGAGATTTAGCGATTTAGAGCGGGAGCGGCGGGGGTTAGTCGGCGAATTGGGTAACCTAAGTTCTTTCCATCATAATTTTCAACTCCAAATTTTATATTGTTGATAAAATTTGTTTCCCCTCTTCATCAATTAGCCAAACCCTCGTTATGCTTTCCCCTTCCCGTCCACAGACCCCAAAACATTATCTTCGATGAACTGTGGTTTCCAAATACTTCTCCTTCTCCCACTCTCTCCATTTCACATGTAAACAGCATCCGCCATTTTACTTCTTTGTTTTTTTCCCTTGACATTTGCCCATGTTTCATCTCCTTTAGCTTTTCAACTAGAAAACACGCAGAACCCATTTCCCATGCCCCGCCTCAAATCCCCTCTCCAAGAAGAATAACAACCATTTATTGCTCCTGACATGCCGATTTTGCCATCAATAGCTCGATTCCACCTCTCGCGCCGCTGTTCTAGGGCTCGACTTCTTTATCTTGGAATCTTTCTTTGAAGCTTTCAGAATATTCACCGGAATCATGATCACAAACAAGAGCACGCTGCTTCCTTCCATGGGATTCACTGGAATCATGATCTGATCCCCAGAGTGGTATTCCAGCCGATGACAAGAATTGATCGATTCTAGACCTGGTATTAGTACTTTCTGCTGGTGTAGCCGTGTAGTTGCTGATATGAATATCACTGTTGTCTTTGCAATCTTTGTTAAAGTCAGTTCTGATGGTTTGCCTGTTTAAGAGGAATTTCCTAGTGTCCTTGTCCCTGAAGTAGGATTCTGATGCTTGACAAGATGGGGTTGAAGTCATTAAGATGAGTCCCACGAGAAATTGGTGCTGAAAGTGAAAAGAGGGAAGTATGATGAATTAATGTTACCCAGATGACAACTTTGATGATACTGGTCAAACTGGAGTTAACCATCATCGAATTTCAAAATCAATGACTTTGTAGTTTGTATATAATAATGGTGGCGTTTAGCTTTACTGGAAAGGAATTTTTTACCTTACTTTTAATGTTTAAGATAGCTTGGGGCAGACCTCTGATGAACTTCTCATATACGCAAGTAGCTATAATTGTAGTTGGCGTTGAAGTTACTAGGTCGAACGTTGATTGGCTTTATAAATTTGTGGCACTAGTCAATCTGTTTTTTTTTTATTTCTTTTTGACAAACATTCAGTCTGAATTTGATTGTGATAAATCGGCTCCCTTGAGGAAATAATGGGAGGAAAGGTTGCATTTCTTCGTCATAGATAGAACGGAAGGAGCTGTCCCAACCAAGTGTAAAAATGAGGATGCTGATGACAGGAGTTAGGAAGAGTTGTGAAGGTGAAAAGCTTGTGCTAGGAAGACAAAAAAAACTTCCAGTTCCCAACTTGTCATTACATAAAGATTAAATACTTGTCCAGTGTATTTAAGAAATTTATTGAAATTAATAGAGCCAAGACATCATATATCATCATCACAACAATTAGTTTGATGAACACACGGCTGAAAACTAATTATCCAAAACTCAAACTACTACAATTTTGGCATAGCTAACCACATTTTAAACCTCTATTCCAGCCTCCAGTATGCAGAAGCATATCATAATTGATCATGTCCAATACTTACAAATTGCCAGAGTCATAGCTTGGATCTTGTCCATAATCAATTTCCCCTTCTAAAGATGGCATCTCATCATCAAAGTGCATACACGCTTCACCATCAGTAAGCAACTTAATGCACTGCATTCTTAGTGATTTTACCCGCAAACCAAAGACTCCTTCAACGCTTGGAAACTTGATCTGGATGAGCTACCTGTACAAACTACCAATATCAGTTTTTGTCCTTGAGAATTCTTGCTTGGGAGAGCTAGCTGGAGTTAAAGGTGATATCCTTAATGTATCATTGTGACCTTCGCTATCAAAGTAGATGAATCAAGGAGGAAGTTCATCGATTACACAGAATGGTGGTATACTAGTAGCCTGGGACCCCAAGCCACAGTCATAAAGCAACAAAAATTACTTTGAATTCAATGATTTCAGCATAAACCTCTTTCAAAGTGTTCTTTGCTTGTCAGCATCATCAATTTGCAGATCAAATATTGTAACAATATATTTGAATTAAATGAGCAGAAAGTATTAACACAACACAAACTGCCGAAGTTGGAAAAAGTTGTTGCCAATTGATTTTGCCCTGACCATAGATGGATTTTGTTATGTTTTGTCTGCATATTTTTGTCAAACACACTACCCAATCAAACATAAGACACCTTAAACAAGTTGAAGCCAATAAAATCAAAATAAAGATGAGGTGCTCGATGTAAAAAGATTGTCATTGCCATTTGTAAATCATCCAGAATGAACTTTTAGAATTCTATGATAAGAGATTAATGGTATCCTGCTATTTATCCATATAGAATGATTTTTCATTGCTATTTGTATACCAAGTAGCTAAAATTGATATTGCCCCACTCAATGTGATCCTGTAGAATATTTGCATTCAGGTGATGGTGAGTAAGAACATCGACAAAAAAAATTAGAACTCTTTCAATACTGAAGGAGGTCGGCTATACCTTAATGCGCCCAGTTGTTCCAACCACTATATCCAGCCCTCTTTTTAAACTGGATTCTTGGGGGTTGTAAGGAGAACCAACAGTATAAGCAGCAAGATGTCAAACCCAATGACTCGCCATAGACCTTAAAGTCCTCAAAAACCTGAAATTATAGGCAAGGGAATCAGTAAAGTACTCTATTACATGAGCTTAGATCACTGCAATCAACTGCCATAAGCACAATCAACTTGGCACCCATACAAATAAACTGCCAGAGTTGGAGAGCAGTGGCTCTATCAAGCTATGGACAATGGATAAAAGAGGTGGAAAGTGAAAGTAAGATACCAACACAGCCTGATGGACAAGTGATTGCAAATTCAGTGAAGTTGTAACCACTTACTGGACAAGAAGAGTCTGTCCATTTTGAGATGTACGAACAGTGAAATGAATGATTGCATATGGTTGTAAGAATTCTACCCATGTCGTGTAGTCTCTCTGTAACATAGATACAGTGTAAGAGCACGTAATTGAATAAATTCCAGACGACCATCTCTAAGAAAACAATATAGGCATAACATTAAACTTCAATTATAACTGAAAGTTCAAACTTGCCGATCCAAGTAATGGGATTTTGCTCATTTAAAATGTATTCATTCTTGAAGCCAGAATATAATGTTCCAAACACTGAAACATTATTCGACGTTCAATTGATTCAATATTAGTATGACTAGATCACAATACCAGAAGTGTGTGAAACAGAGTTAATAAAGTATGTGAGAAGATGGTTTACCTTTATCTAGTCAAAGGGACGCATTTTCACTTCCATCTGGACCTTCTGGCCCCCATATTCCTGTGTTGTCGCATAAAATCACTTGAACAGTGCGCACATGAAAGTCTCCAAGAAGTAATTCATGAACCGATGAACCTGTTTTCTGTAAACACATCATAAAGATAGGAGCTTTTTTCTTATTCTCGTCTCTCCGACTCTAGGTCCTGAAATCGAGAACGGCAGCAACTACTTTGGATTCCTTTCTAACATTTTAAGTGTTTAACTACTACACTAACGAGAAGGCATAATATCTCGCAATGATATTTGAAGGTTAGACTAAAAACTAGCATTTTTTTAAAGAGAGAAAAAAAAGTACCTCGAACGGTGACAAGTATTTCCCTTCAGGTGGTGGAGGAATACCAAGCCCCTTCAACTCGTCGTATGAAATTGGTCGCCTACTCACAACCAAAGCCAACGGCAGCAACTTCAGTTACAGTATCAGGCAGAAGCCACTAAAATGGAAAAGCTAATTCACAAATGAGCATACAGAGTAGTTCGAAATGGTCTGTCTCGTCCACCATCTCTACTATTAAATTATTGGTCTTCTCCATCATTTGCTTGAGGTGATCCATCATTTGCAAACACTCGTCCACCATCTCTACTATTAAATTATTGGTCTTCTCCATCATTTTTTTATATGAGCATTACTTTTCTTGTAACTTTTTTACCAATTGAGCATAGACATATTTAAGTCATATAACCATAATTCAGTTTTAAAAAAGATACAAAATTTTTTTGGTGACCATTGATGTCTGTTGATATTCTTAAACACATGAAATTATAATGTATCACGGTAGCATATGACTCAATTATGTTGATATATTTCATTAATCTTAAAGTATAGGAATATATCACATGAATAAGTTATTATGACTTAGCAAATCATCATTTTTATTTCATGCTATAATCTCTTAATAATCTAGTTAGCACAAAAAAATAGTTATTTTTCTAGTAAATCGCGATAAGAGTGTATTAGTTCGGATATTTAAATTCTTCGTGTTCTAAAATACGAAAGAAGGTTATTTTTTTCTTTTTCATTTTCAATTTTAAAAGAAAATCACATGTCAAATTAGGTAAAAATTTTATAATTGTGTACCAACTAAATTCATGCTTTTAGGAATTTTGCAATTATTTTTAAAAATTATAAAAAATTATCAATCATATTATAAAATAAAAATTTTAAATAAGTTATTTGTAGTTGTTAATGAGTTTCTATCATTGCTAAAAAATAAAGTACAAGATTTTAACATGATAGTTTTTGTTGTGTAATGTACAGAAGTCAACCATTTAATAAAAATAAAATGTTATGTGTTGTTGTACATTTTCTTATAACATGAGTATTAATATTGTTGATTAATTGCATCACTTAGATTTTATTCTATTAGTTAAACAACTTAAATGATTACGGGTTGAGCTATTAGGTTACATGATTAAATCTATATTATGGTGATTGATATACATGTTTTATTATGATAAATAGCATCAAATATATTTTATCCTACTATACTTGAAATAATGATCGCTTCAACTCATAAATTAAAATTATAAATGACATTGAAAATTGTGGAGTTTTCTTTGCAATACCTAGCAAAAACTTTCTCCACAACTATCATACACAAACTATCTATACCCATAAATCTAAGCGCTGTTAGGTCGTCGTGCGATGAACGACAAAACAAAAACCAGAGCCAATGTAAAAGACTTTCCAACCGTAGCCAGCGGAATCCCATACTTCCCTCTCCCCACAAATAACCCTTCAACGAAAGGCCAAAAGAAGCTCAATACCACCACGCAGCTGATCACCTCTCCCAGACCCGACCCGTCTCCAAAACCGGTCACCAACCAAATTCCCAAAGCGGCCAGATTAACGAGCACGAGCACCATTCCGGGTACAAACATCAAGGATCCGTCGAATGTGAAACGACTCGCTACGTCATGGTGACTTTGATCATCATCACTGCTACTAGTAGTGTCCTTCTGGGTGACTTCGAAGACTGTTTCTGATAACCCCAACACTTTGCAAATCACGCTCAGGAGGGAGAGAAATCGGGGCCCTGTCGCCACGATCCTCGCCATTCTCATGTTGTTCCACCATGCCCGGATTGAAAGCCCTGTTTGGGAATACTCGAGCAGTCTGTAGACTGTGTAGGCTGCTAGTGGAGCTATTACGATGTAGATTCCTGGATCTTGCAACTGAAATAACCAGAAAATTGTAATGCCGGTAACTGTAAGATGATGAGTTAATCATGTTTGATACCAAGTCCAAGTCCAAGGGCAGAATGATTTGTAACGGTTGTTTGATTAAGAAGTCAAATTTTCTTTGCATAACTGATAAGCTAAAAGTTAACTGAATCTGACCTTCGGGAGGAAATTGGAGTTGTTGATGAGGCAATAAGCAGGGAGGAGGGAATAGCAGAGCTCAGGAAATTGGAGTTGTTGTTGATCCACAAATACGCCAAGCACTGCCGGAATTGGAGCTTGGCAGTGAATACCGAAATTAAAGGGTTTCTTCCGCTGATCAGGATTTCTAGCAAACCGGTAGCCCATCTCTTCTGTTGAGTCAGGGAAGCTGGGCCGCCAGTTGGAGCACAGCCGAGAAAGGCCACAGGGTATGGGTTGCACATTACGGAGCTCCATCCTCTGGTGTGAATGCCAAGGCCCGTTAGCACGTCTTCCGTCGTGGAACCATATTGCCAACCAATCTACAGAAGAATCGTTCGCCGATTTCACTAATTAGTTTATTCATCAAACAAGAAACAGACGGGAAAGGGGGGGTTTGTTGATACTACTAACATTTGGTTTGCCCCAATTTGAGCTGGATTCGTAGTTGCAGCCGGCAACCTGATTTGCTACCTCGACCGAGTCCAAAAGACGACCTCTAGAAGTGTTGGTTTGGGAATTGGTATGCCCTTTCAATGCAAGTCCGGCTGACTCTGCAAACTCGATTGAAGTGCCGAATATCCTGAGCAGTTCCTTCTCCGAAAATTCCCCTGCCAAACAGTAGAAAGAAAACAGAAGCAGGAATTCAGACCAGTAACAGTAAGATTGATGAAATGGTCAAAACGAGCTGCACCATGAACAGGGCAGAGAATTCTGTCTTGTTTACCAGTGTTGTCAACCGGGCACAAACCATAAATGACTTTGCGCCTGTGAAAGCACCCTGTTCCTCCATAAAAAGCTCCTTGGATCCCTGATATCCCAGCTCCTACAAACTGACCAACTGGTTGGCAAAGGGATCATCCTTCATAAATCATAATAGAGTGTTTTTTTTTTTATGTTACTTGTAAAAGGACCACCAGTTGATTGCCAAAGGGATCATCCTTTAAGGCCCCATAGAAAGACTGGGGGAACTGGACGAACCCCTCTTCCCTTCTGGCATCTAGCAACACACACATTGCATAGCGGACGATGAGTGGATTGTTGGCGTACATGTCACAGTCCATGTTCAACATGAGCGGTGCGTTCGTCATAACTCCTGACACTCGAGTCTGCATGTCCCCCGGAAATGTTCCATTCATTACTTTTGTCTTTATATATATGTAAAGTACATCAGTACGTAATTTGGGAAGTCTTGAGTTACATTACCAGGACGTTCATGGCACCGGCCCTGTAGTGATGTGGATGTTCGGGATGTTTTTCCCTGGATATGTATACCAAATGCGGCAGCCCTTCTTCTCCCGCCCACGTATCATATTTGTTCTCCCATATCACCTAAAGGGAAGAGAATATGCTTGACTTGCGGTTCAGCATTTTTTAAAGTTATATACAGAGTACCAAAAGGATTGAATTTGCCCTAAAGGAAAAAGACCTCTCCATGTCTCCACTTACCTTAATAATGGTTGGATGGTTCCGCCGCTCAACATGAGCAAAAGCAGCCAAATCTCCACTGTAAGTTACGTCCCATGACGATGGCTGCTTTCCGGTTGCCTCTTCGATCTTACAACACAGCTTCCCGTACTCTTCCTAGTTCCACACAATTTAGTTTGTCCAATGTCAAGCTATATTATAGTTAATAAAAAACATAGTTCAGAATTTTAAATTTTTTGTCACCTTCATCTTCTCGCACTCTTGCCGGAACTCTGATGATTCGCCATTACCAGAAGAAACCTCGGCAACGGAGAAGTATCGAAATGGAGCTCTCACGTGGACGTTGTACTTCTTACAGAATGGGACCCACAGCCTAGCGAATTTCGATGCTTCCACTAGAGAGTAATAGGTGAGAGGTGAGCAGCCGTCGTCCGAGACATAGCAGGCAAGCTTACTCACAGGGTAATCCACCGCCATTAGCGAAAGCACCGTGTTGACTGTGATTATCGGCGGTTCCAGCACTGGGTCCGCAGTCGTCACGAACATATCCACCGCCGGGAGCCCCCGCTCCTCCACCCTGTACACAGTCGATAAAACACAAGGACATCATTAGCCTAAGAGTCGAGATTCAAGGATTATCATCTCATTAGTCACGTGCTCAATGGTACGACGCAAACTGCATGTTCATCAAATGAAAGAACTAATATGTAAGTGAAAGGAAAAAAAGAAGTAATTTGCATTGAGCTATAGAGTTATACCGCTCGGAAAGCCGCTCAGGGTAAGTTTTAAACTCAGCGGGAGTCCATTTGGTGGAGACGGCGAGAAGCCAAAAGAAGGCGAACCAAGACTCGCATGAAAGAGCAATAAGCCAAGCAATGCCATGGTGGTGGAGATGGAGGAGACGATAGAGTAGAAGGGAAGCCAAGAGGAGGGACACCACAACGTCTAGAATTCTATGATTGGTGTACTTGAGAGGGAATCTCTCATAGAGAGGCGATGAAGATGGGGAGTATCTGTCAGCCTTAGCCATTTCAAGCAGAAGATAGGAGGAAGAGTTTGTGCTCTGATTTGTGTATATGCAACTGGGATCGTTTTATACAGTCAGTTGAGTGTGCAAAAGTGATTGGGATTTTAGTTGCGAGAAAAATCTGTGGCCAATTCATGTGCTTGGAGAGATTATGACATTTTAGTCACAATGTTTCCCCCCTCGTTTTTATGTGGGTAACAAGAGCATCCTTGGCCGACCCTTTTGAAAGGAGAGTATGACTGTAAATTTTTTGTCTGGTCAAGATTACTGTTAGCAAACAATTAAGGATGGAGATACAATCTGTTAGCAAACAATTATACTGACGTTTCATGAGAAAATGGAAAGTTGATGGCAAAAAATACAGAACACACTAAGATAAAACGACAACATAATCACATCACAAGGACAAAGACCTAACCTAACAAGTTCCAAACAACAAAACAGAAGGCAGAAGAGAAGGCAAAGCAATATTCATTACGACAACTTCCTCTTTGTGAACCGAAGATAAGTATGCTGCATATATTATCTTCTTGCTTTCCTTCAACAAATATATATAAATTATGTTTATGTAGTGAACTACGGAAGAGAAGTAGTACTTGTCAAGCTTTGCTGTCAAGGAGTTTCAATCTTTAATGGAGGAAGGAGCCAATCATTATCCGCCCCTCCCCAATAATGCAGCAAGCAAATTACCCAATCGTCAAGCTTCGAAATTTTGTGAAGCTGCCCAAATATGGATTTGGTCACAGCTCTCAAATGATATCTTCACACAATCTGTTTCAAAGAATGCTGTAAGATTCTTCTGTCTTCCCCCAAAGAATGCTGTAAGATTCTTCTTGTCTTCCCCCATCCCTGTCAATACAGGTTTACGTACAGGAATGCTCAATGTTGTTAGGTGGTGAGAAGATGCATTATGTAAGAGATGACCTCATAGCGTCCATGGAAAGCAATTCTGCATTCTGTAAATTGTAATACTGTTAGTTTACATACACTGTGATGGTAAACAACTTGGGTACAGAAGCTTCTAGCCATTATTTACACGCTACAAGGCAACAAAGAAGCTCTCTTGTCCTGATCACGGAGACATGGACCAGCTGAGACTTACTCCTTCCAAAAGGAAGAAACAGATGGCTGAAAATGAAGAAAGACGATCAAACTAATAGCAGGCTTCTGTCCACATCGTCGAATATATTGTGCCACGATTGTGGGTCAATCAATATCCTTCCGCACTCCACTGGTATTCTTCTAAAACCAGAACCACGGCATTTATTCGTTTTCATTTAGCATATGTCCAACTGTAGGCAGGAATCTTTTGAATTCCCGCCTCTACCATCACTCTCCTAGCATAAGCAGCCAAATCCCATCTCCCTACACAAGCATTGATGTTGGATAAGGCTACATACCGTCCAGAATACTGTGGTTGTAATTCGATTAACTTTTGGCCCACTTCATGTCCTAGCCTCATTTCTCCATGGATTGTGCAAGAACTGAGAAGTGAACCTAATACAGAACCGTCGGGCTCACAAGGCATGCCGTCGATAAAATCACTTGCCTCTCCCAGTAACCCTGCTCTGCCCATGAGATCAACTAAGCAACCATAATGCTCCAATCTTGGTACCACTTTGAATTCGTTTTGCATTGACTGAAATAATTTCAAACCATACTCAACAAGCTCGGCACGAGCACAAGCAGTGAGTAATGCCACGAAGGTAACTTCATTCGGGTGCAGGCCTTCAACCTTGATCATCTTCTCAAACATATGTATGGCTTCCTTCTCTCTGCCGTTATTTGCAAATGCAGAAATGAGTGCATTCCAAGTGCAAACTTCTTTAAACACAATTGTATTAAAAACCAGCACCGCTTTATCCAGAAATCCCAACTTCCCATAGAGATCAGCCAGTGCTGTCCCCATAAACACAGTGAAACAAAGCTCATTCCTGATCATGTACCCATGAATTTGCCTTCCGAGAACAAGAGCTCCACAGTCTAAACTAGCGCACGAAGACAATATACTAACATAAGTTGCTTCATTCGGTCTAACCGAACCATGAAGCACATCATCGTGCACCATCATATCCTTGAAAAACAGAATTGCCTCGCGGAAAAGACCGTTTTTTGCAAACCCATTAATCACGCTAGTCCAAGTAACGACATCTCTCTGCCGCATAGTTTCAAACATCACAAGAGCAGAACCCACGTCACCATTCTTAGCATAAGCATCAATTATCGCATTATACTCAAAGACACCAGGAGAGAGAATTTCGTCGAACACCTTGCGGGCACCCACTCCATCACCGAAGAGCGAATACATTCCAACCAAAGACGTCGGCACAAACGGATCCGCTAGCAAACCCCTTCTCAGAGCTTGGCCGTGAAGGGAAATAGCGCCGCGGAAAGCACAGCAGAGTCCAGCAGCTTTGATCAGGGAAGGGAAAGAGTGGGCGTTTGGTGGGATTTGGTGGGCGAGCATAAGCTTGAACAGGCGACATGTGTGTCGTGTATGGCCGAAACTGACGTACCCTCGCATCAGAGTGTTGTAGAAAAGCGTGGGTTTCCATTTCGAGAATGGGTCCTGAGAGAGAAGGCTTCTGGTGATTACGTGGGCGTGGATTTGCTTGACCTGAATTCGGTGTTTGATGAAATGCTGGAGGAGTTGGAGAAGGGTTTCGGCTGACTGCGGCGGTGGCATTTACCGGCGGAAAGCATGACGCGCGAGGCGCGATCAATGAATGCCGTGGCTTTTGGAAAACTTTAGGCCTTTTCCACCGAAACTACTATTAACCGTGGTGGGCTTGGCATTTCCCGAGTACCAACTTTGGGCCTAGTACTCAGGAATCAGGATGACATAAAATACCCAGCAATACAAAGGCCGGGCCTGATAGGTGGGCCTTGGCTTTCCCAGACGGCGCCGTATTCGCTAGTAGAACTCAAGAGGGTGGAGGCCGGAGGGTTGCGTGGCCGGAATCTCTCGCTCTCATCATCGGCAGCTTCCAGAATATTGGCGCCCACTCCCAGCCGCCCACCACCAAAGCCCACTGCTTCAGAGCTTCTTCTCTTCCCCTTTCTCTACTCATATCACTCCCTCACCTCTTCTTCTTCTCCTGGCTTCACAGTTCGCGCAATGGCTGATTCCTTCAAGAAAATCCAAATTCAGAGGGAAGACACTGTCAGTTCTCCTTCCCTTTCTTCTTCAGTTCTTCTGATTCCCTCGTGTTTTTATTTTCCGCGTGTGAGGCTGGGATGGGATGATCGTTTTTCGGGTGTCGGGAATGGAGGTTTTAATGGGTATTTGTTGTTCAGACGTAGATTGGTTTAATTTCATATGGCTCAGCAAATTTGAATTATTTTGTTGTGAGCTTGAATCCATGGACGATGTTGAGTTCGCTTTCTGTTAGGCTTGATTTCTGGTTCTCAATTTGTGGGTTATGTTTAATTTCTCTGTGTTATCGGTGCAATTCACTTTGTTGATATTGATCCAATTGAATCATTTGAGGATTGCATGTGTACAACCTGTTTTCTGTTCAGAGTACTGCATTGCCAGTGTCGGTGTAGTAATTCATGGAGAAATACTTCCCCTTATTAATTCTAAGGATGGTTGGTACTTGGTTGATTGATCAGACTTTTGATGCTTATGTGGTTGGCAAAGAAGACGCTCCTGGAATCGTTGTGCTACAGGAGTGGTGGGGTGTGGATTTTGAGATCAAGAACCATGCCATCAAGATCTCCCAACTTGACCCTGGATTTAAGGCCCTTATACCAGAGTGAGCATAGCATTGTGTTTTCAAACAAAGTTTTTAACTTGTTCTTCTGAGGGGGATGTCATCTTACAGTTTAATGTTGACCTTTTTTGCGTGGAATTGGTGGGGAATTCTGTTTTTTTTTTTTTTTTATCAGCTTGTATCGCGGAAAGGTTGGTTTAGATGTCGCGGAGGCTCAGCATTTGATGGACAATCTTGACTGGCAAGGTGCTGTCAAGGATATCCGTGCCTCAGTAAATTGGCTCAAGGCCAATGGCTCAAAGAAGGTTTGTCACTTCTATTGATCATATATGTAGGCTGTTACTACGTACGCTCCCTTGGTGTGCATTGTGGTAAATGCATCACCTGTGCTGTCTTGATCCATCCTTCTTACGTAGCCTCGGGCCTCTAAACTTGATTTATGGGGCTAATGCTGTTAGTTGAAATAATTATCAAAGTTATTTGGTGCTATCATTCTTAACAGGTTGGAGTTACTGGATTTTGCATGGGCGGTGCTCTGTCTATTGCAAGCTCAGTTTTGGTTCCTGAGGTGGATGCAGCTGTGGCTTTCTATGGAGTTCCTTCTTCAGAGCTTGCAGATCCTGCCCAAGCTAAGGCTCCTGTTCAGGCGCATTTTGGGGAGCTTGATAACTTTGTTGGCTTTTCTGATGTCACAGTAAGTTTCTCTGCTGATATCATGTCCTTTTAGTAGCTAGTTTTGTTGCTCTTCAAAAATTGTCTCCTTACTTTTATCGAGGCAAGTCTCTAGCACCTCAACACACTCACTCAAGGGACATGGTTCAGATGCATTGTTTAGAACTTCCCTAAGGTTGTAGACAATAAACCTTTGCCAGGTAAAGTGAGCTCGAGTTAAGAGGAAAAATTGAAATGACCAAATAGAACTTGTTTTCCAAAGCCTTCATATACAGGTGATAAGAAAGTTTTGTTGAGGTTTTGTAACCCTTGCCATATGTTAGCTATAAAATTCACTATTTCTCCTAAATGCTTTGTAGGTTTAAGTACTGCTCAGTGATAAAAAGAAAGTGTGTTTCACTGAAACCTCGCAGCAATATTTAGATTGTTCTCAGCCCCTAAAAAGCACACTGATCCCTGCATTGATATATGGTTATGCACTTATGCTTCCTATCCTTTCTTCATCTTGATGCCGGATCTGTACAAGTGGCAGTCCTTCTCCTCTAGTACCACATAGAGGTAGCTCTAGTCGACAACTTCATATGCAGTTCATGCATGTATCTAATGTTTCAATTGATAGATGCACATACACAGAAACTGAGTAATGCACTCCCCTTAGTAAGGAAAGAACAAGACACTGGTATTGTTTAATAGTTTAACTCTCTCTTTTCTTTCAATAAACTTTTTTCCTTAGGCAGCAAAAGCCTTGGAAGAAAAGCTGAAAGCATCTGGAGTTCCACACGAGGTCCATATCTATCCAGGCAACGCACATGCTTTCATGAACAGATCTCCAGATGGTATCCAGAGGAGGAAGGGCATGGGATTGCCAGATGAAGATGAAGCTGCTGTCGAGCTGGCATGGTCTCGATTCAAATCATGGATGACAAGTCACTTATCCGCGTGAGTTTTTTTTTTTTCTTCATCCAGGCCTCTAACCCCGCTTGTTAGCGATTGTCTAGTTTCCAAACAGTACCATGAACCTAAACCTATGCGTGGAAGTTCCAGTCTTGAAGAGTGCACCATAGCCTCTTGCGGAGAATCGTATCACCGGGTGTTGGATGTTAATCATGTTCGAAAAAATTATTGTGTCCAAAACATCATCTTGATTAGATCTGAGTTGATTTGGTATCTCGGATTTACTGATGATGAAAAGGGAATCCCCATGTGCTTTCTTTGAAACTGTTAAATGCCCTTATGGTCTTCTGTATCTACTATGGTGTATGGTCTATGAGAAATAATAACAGAAAGAACGCATGGAGTGGAAGCCTGCTGGTTTTGATTTCTTTATTAGCTTTGCTATGTTGTTTTTGGGGGTTTCTAGAATCGTAGGATTGCAGAATGGCAATGTAGTTGACACATCATGGGGACCAAAGACGGTTGAATGAGCCCAAGATGGAAAATTTAAGACGAAGGCAAGAAGACCATAGCAAAGTGGAGATATTGGACAAAGCTTTGACAAAGGGTCATGCGATTTGAAGTGTGAACACCACCCACCAATGATTATGATGGCAATGAGATGACCCACAAGTATGGAAAATAGTCTAAGAGACTAGAAGTCAGTCTCAGGAGTTGACTAGTGAAGAGGCAGTTGTTGGTCTGTCATGGAGTGGCAACTAGCTAGACGAAAACTCACCTGTCCGCAATAGGATGTGTTACTATCCTGGCCTGATGTGTAGAAAATTGGTCGCGACTAAGTATTGGTAAAGTCCAAGTTGTCTCATTTTCTTGGTCGGAGCAGATGAAATCGGTTTTGAATGGTTTTACATCGTTGCATAATTATTATGACGTCCATGTTTGATTTTTTCCCCTCATATATGATCATCAACTATCTCATAACAATTGACCATTACATCAGTTGCGACTTGCTACTTTCAAAAACCCTAGCTCCGGATAACTCGGAGCGGCGATCCCACCCCCGGAAATCTCCTTGCGGCGAACGTTCACAATGGCATTGTCGGCGCCGGGGCACGACACCCCTGGACCCGAATGGGGGAGTCTGGCGACCACCGTCAGTCACTTCCTCTCCTGACTCGAAACGAGATAGGGAAACACAGCATCCAAAGAAGCGTGCGAAACCAATGCAGACCAACCCTCTCTTTGTAAAGGAGAGCAAGACGGACCCGGCTCCCAGCCCGATGGAAGATGTGGAAACTACTACAGAGAAGACTCAAAAGGAATCGGTGTGGGGAGAAGGGTCCAGCAGACTCTTCACGAACTTGCACCAAGCGGATGAATGGTACGTGGCGGACTCTGATTCCGAGGATATTGCTGCGGCCATGAGGGAAGACGATCTAGACGATGAGATCCCAGAAGACGATGACCCGCTATGCCCGACGATTGCCTTCACGGCTTTAGAGAAACAACGATGGAGACGAGAATGGCGGTCTGCCCTAATCATCAAAGTCTTAGGCCGCACGTTTCCTTTCCCGGCTATCGCTCGTAGACTTGAAGTCTTGTGGGCAAAGTGTGGTACAATCCAGGTGTCGAGCCTCTCGTTTGGTTTCTACGTGGTAAGGTTTACAAGCCAAATCGATTATGAGCTGGCAATGGGCGGCGGACCGTGGATGATGGGAGATTTCTACATTACGGTTCGGCCCTGGCGGGGCAATTTCGATCCCAGAACAGCGGAGGTTGCGTCGACGATGGTATGGGCGCGATTCCTGGGGCTCCCTAGAGAATTTATCAACAAGGAAGCTGTGGAGCGCATTGCGGAGAGGATAGGTAGGCCTATACGAGTGGATCGTGCAACTCAATCGGGAGATCGCGGAAAATATGCACGTGTTAGCATTGAAGTGGACCTCACCAAACCTCTCCTACCAAAATTCAAGATAGAAGGAATAACCTACTACGTAGAGTACGAAGGACTACATCGTATTTGTTCGGATTGTGGAAAATACGGTCATATGAAAGCTGCGTGCCCCAGCCTTCAAAAGAGTAATGTCCCCCCACCGGTTGTAGTCCAGGAAGAGAGAGACACTAGCCCGTCCAGTACCTATGGGGAATGGATGATAGCTCCAGTACGTGGGAGAGGGAACAGGAACAGAAAAGAAGGCCCAGACAAGGTTGACGAAAAGAAACAGGAGCCCAGTAATGAGGCGACTCTGAGCCCTTCATCAGGCTCCTGCTTTGCTGTGCTCACTGAGGAGGAGGATGGCACAATGAAGGAGGCAGCCAGTTTGCACCAAGTGGAGGAGCAACGGGACAAAGAGCAGGCCGAAGTTATTGAGATGGAGGCGGTCACGAAGGACTCAGCGGAACTTGGTGAGAAGGTGGATACTCAAAAAAGGGCGCCCAAGCTGAGTGGCACCCCAGCTAGCCAACCCAAGAATGTCGACCAGGGCACTCTGGAAGGCATCGAGGGTGTTAACCCAAAAGATAGTGTTCGGAACATGCAATTTAGCACAAAAAATGGCCACAGTGTTGGGCACCCGCGAAGTAACACCCTTGAGCCAAGAGTAAATGGTGAGAAGAATAAGAAACTAACTCCGGCCAAGAAAATTCCGGCCACAGTGGACAAAGTAAACCAGGCGGGGTCTGCCCAGCCAAATAACGCTTCGAAAGACGGCGCGGGGAGCCGATCCCCTTCGGTTAATAGATGAAACTATTGAGCTATAACTGCCGCGGGTTGGGGAATACGCGATCAGTTAATGCCCTTAAAGCGCTTTTGTGCCGATCTTCCCCGGATATAGTTTCCCTAATGGAAACGAAGCAAACTTGTGAGGAGAATGAGGTGCTCCGTGGATTGTGTGGGTACGAGCATGGCGAAAGCCATTCGGTGGTGATTTCTCCTAGGAGTCGCGCCGGAGGCCTTAGTATTTGGTGGAAGGACGACATTCGTCTTTCAGTTATGGACTTAGACCTCCACTTTATCGATACAGCAATTGACGAAGAAAGGGAGGACAGATGGCGGTTCACAGGTGTCTATGGATGGCCGGATGGAAATGATAAATGGAAAACGTGGGACCTCATCCACTCATTAAGTAACCAGTGGGACGGACCGTGGTTGTGCGGGGGAGACTTTAATCAAGTACTGTCGACAGAAGAAAAGAGTGGGGGCCGAGGTGCTCAGGAAGCAGATATGAACCTGTTTAACGATTGCCTGATCGAAGTGGGTTGCCAGGACCTGGGTTTCCATGGCTATCCTTTTACATGGGAGAACCGTAGAACGAGAGGTGGCTATATTGAAGAAAGATTGGACAGATTTGTAGCGAATGACAAATGGTGCGCGATTTTCCCACAAGGAAGAGTGCATCATGGGGACCGAACTCAATCGGATCATCGACCGATTCTATGTGAATCAAGAGGAGAGGAAGACAGCGATATCAAATGGGGCTGGTCCTTTCGCTTTGATCCCCTTTGGGCAAAACACAAGGAGTGCCCCGAAGTGATCTCTAGCGCATGGAACAAGGCCGAACAAATAAATGTAATGGACAAATTTGATCAGTGCCGCCGGGAGTTGGAAAGCTGGAGTCGGCAGGCTTTCCCCGCGTTTCCAAAGCAGAAGAAGAAATTGTTGAGGGCGGTAAGAGCGCTGGAAAGACGCGAGAAGACTAGTGAAGTTGTGGCCCAACTCCGACAGCTAGATGAAGAATATGCAGATTTGCTGGACAGCGAAGAAAGGTACTGGAAGCAACGATCTCGGGCGGAGTGGCTGCGATCCGGAGATAAGAATACCCCCTTTTTTCATCGGAAAGCGTCAGCACGGCGAAAACGGAACATGATCAGGAAGATCAGAAATGAGGCGGGGCGTTGGTTCGTGGGACAAAACGAAGTATCCTCATGTATGGTGGACTATTACCAAACTTTATTTACGGCTGGCCCAGCTCCTCTTACCTGGCCGGTCTTGGAGTCAATTCCGAGCAAATTGCAAGCTGAAGACAACGAGGAACTACTCCGGCCGTTTACGAAGGAGGAGGTTTGGGGGGCCCTTAAGCAGATGGGAACCCGAAAGGCACCGGGCGCGGATGGACTCTCGGTGTTTTTCTTTCGCAAATATTGGTCAATTGTCGGGGACGAGGTCACAAAAGCAATACTTAACATCTTGGAGACGGGTGCTATGATTGAGGGTCTGAACCACACTTTGATCACTTTAATTCCCAAAATCAAGCAGCCGGCCACTCCGAAGGACTTCAGGCCGATTAGCCTCTGCAATGTAATGTATAAAATTGTGTCGAAGATCCTGGCTAACCGGCTCAAACCCATGTTGGATAAGATCATTTCTCCAGCCCAGAGTGCTTTCATTCCTGGCCGACTCATTACGGATAACATTATGGCGGCGTTTGAGTGTTTCCATACCATGAAGGGCAGTAAGCGCTGGAAGCATGGCTACTTTGCAGCGAAGATCGATATGGCGAAGGCTTATGACCGTGTCGAGTGGCATTTTCTGGAAGGAGTTATGAAAAGGTTGGGCTTCGCTGATAGATGGATCCAGTTGGTGATGATGGGCGTAACAACGGTGTCATACTCAATTTTAGTGAATGGGCATCAATCCCAAACTTTCACCCCGAGCAGAGGGATTCGGCAGGGCGACCCATTATCACCTTATCTCTTCCTGCTTTGTGCGGAGGGATTATCAGCCTATACGACCAAGGCGGTGGAGGAAAAACGGTTGCATGGGCTACAGGTGAAACGGGGTGCCCCGGTGATTACCCATCTCTTTTTTGCTGACGACAGTATCTTTTTTGCCAGGGCAACGCAGGAGGAGTGTCTAGTCTTGAAAGACATTTTGCATGCCTATGAGGTTGAATCTGGCCAGATGGTTAACTTTCAGAAGTCGGAAGTCTCCTTCTCGGCTAATGTGAAAACGCATAGCAAGTTCATCACTAGTGGCACTCTCCAGATGAAACCCGTGGACAAGCATCAGAAATACCTCGGGCTGGTGACGGAGGTGGGAAGGGCCAAGAAGGATCTATTTGCAGGGTTGAAAGATCGAGTGAGACAGAAACTGAAAGGATGGAAGGAAAGAATGATGTCGGCGGCTGCCCGAGAAGTCCTAATCAAGTCCGTAGCTCAAGCCCAGCTAACCTATGCTATGTCGGTGTTCAAAATTCCAGATGGAATTATCGATGAGTTACACAGTATGATTACAAGCTTTTGGTGGGGCCAGAAGAAGAACGAGAGAAGATCACATTGGATTCGGCGCGAAGAACTAGTAACATTGAAGGAAGATGGCGGCCTGGGTTTTTGTGACCTACGTGGTTTTAACCAGGCACTTCTCGCGAAGCAGCTGTGGTCGTTGCACCAGCGACCCACGTCGCTCATTTCCCGGATTGTAGCTGCGAAGTACCACAAGAACTGTTCCATCCTTGATGCACGTTTGGGAAGCCGACCGAGTTTCATCTGGAGGAGCTTGATGAGTGCGCAGAACTTTCTTTGTGATGGGTTACGCTGGCGGATAGGCAACGGTGGCCAAGTAAGAGTTTGGGGAGATCAGTGGCTCCCAACTGAACCACCTTTTGTAGCTTCAGCACCTACGCACATCCCGGTGGACTCCTCTGTCCGGGACCTTATCGACCCTGAGACCGATAGTTGGGATGTGGAATTGGTTAACACATGCTTCCCTCCGTCCATTGCACATACCATTCTAGCGATCCCTCTAAGGGGGAGGGAAGAGCAAGACCGGCTGGTTTGGCGACACAGTGAAGATGGATGCTATTCGGCCAAAAGTGGGTATAGAAGATGGTTGGCGGGCTTTATGCAGGCAGAGGGGATCACTCCGAGTGGCTGTGCGAAGCTTTGGAAAGCTATTTGGACCCTGAAAGTCCCACCGAAAGTACGACATTTCATGTGGAAATTCGCAAGGGATATTCTACCTACGGGAGTGAAAGTTGCTGCTAGGAACCCACGGTGGAGCGATGTTTGCCCTTTCTGCAACCAAAAGGAAACTCAACATCACCTCTTCCTCGAATGCAGCTGGAGCAGTCGGGTGTGGAGAGGAACGGAGTGGGAGCGAGCTTTCACTGTGCATGGTTCGACGAGCAGCATGCAGTGGGTCGAGGAAGTCCTGAAGGCAGAAAACTCTGACATGGTGGAATCTTGGGCAATGATCCTATGGGCTGTTTGGAAAGAACGTAATGCTCACCTCTTTAACGGGATTAAATGGCCGGAGCAAGAGATAGTACAGCGTGAAATAACCATTCTTGAGGAGTTCAGGCAGAATCAAGGCCCTGAAGAGATCGCCTCGGACAGTCAGCAAGGAGATCGGTGGACAAGACCGCTAGAGGGCCACATGAAGCTTAATACTGATGCGGGATGGTGGCCGACGAAGGTATTGGTCTGGGGGCTGTATTTCGAGACCATCAGGGGCGCTTCCTAGCTGCAGCAGCCAAAAGAGTGCGAGGTCCTTATGGAGTGGAGATGGCGGAGGCGTTGGCAGCAGAGTTTGGCGCCCAGCTTGCAGGGCAATTGGGATTCAAAAATCTGCAGCTTGAGGTTGATAGCCTAAATCTTGTTGAGAAACTTGGACAAAGCCAGGGGATCCACACGGAGCTTGGTATAGTTTGCAGACGAATCATCAGCTTGCTTCAGGGAACGGACTCGGATCCAAGCAGCATAACCCATGTGAGACGTATGGGGAACGGTGCAGCGCATATCATGGCTCATCATGAAATTCGGTGGAACAGTAGAGAAGTGTGGCTTGACTTGCCACCGGATTTTCTTATAGACCAACTTCGTTTGGATGATGTAACCGTTTCACTCTGATCTTGTAGTTACAGGTTACCCGTAAAAAAAAAAAAGACCATTACATCGTGGATAAATAATTTTTTATTCATATTGTCATGATTAGTTTACGTGTAATTTTATCTACACAATAAATAAAAGGGTAAATACAATTTAATATCCAAACCTTTCATTTTAAACAATATAATAGCCAAAACTTTTCGAAAACAATCTAATATCCAAATCGTCAACTTTCCGTTCGTTTGACCGTTAGTTGACACTTCAAAAAAGTTCGAAGTACGACGCTTCATCAATATCCATCGATATCTTCTCTGAAAAACCACCAACATATCGTGGTTCCAAACCCGAGAAGTCCATGACTCCACCATGATGGTATAGAATATCTAAATATTCAGTCATCTGCAATGCCAAAACAAGAAAACAAAGTTGTATTGTGACAATTTCCTCTAAACAAAGCTTTTTTGAAGTGTCAACCAACGGTCAAACGGACGGAAAGTTGACGATTTGGATATTAGATTGTTTTCGAAAAGGTTTGGCTATTATATTGTTTAAAATGAAAGGTTTGGATATTAAATTGTATTTACCCTAAATAAAAATCAAATGAGAAAACTTGAAGCCCCATCTCAAATTTCCTGCATTCAGAGTGAAAGTAGGAAGGACATTTTGGTCTTCACAATTACTTTTTTTTATTCATTAAAAAGACATGTACTAGAATTCGAACCATGACCACTTTAAAGAAAAGCAAAGATCATAACTAATAACACTAACTACATTTGTTATATCTTTTTAAATTAAAAACATATAATAGGGGAGAGAGGAAAAAACTCTTCCCCATTTCGAATTCTCTGCTCCAGGAGCGTTTGTAAGAAGGGTAGAATAGGGAGTGTCATTTTTTTTCTTTTTCCTCTGTGGAATGGGC